TCTTACTTACAAGGCCACATGCGTCCCCGTTTTTGCTGGCTCCAATGCAAGTGATAATTTCTATCACAGCACCTGGCGTGTCTCCACACAATGGGTTTATACAGCAGTAGCAGTAGACCGCTCCCGGTGATGGCCTGCTGTTCAGATGGCAACTGAAGCCATCCTTCGGTATGTCAGGTTAGCCCAGTCCTAGGCTTGCCCTATCCCATCTTGCTCACAGCCAACAAGCATGTCCCAAGGACCCTGCCCTGGTCTCTGGATTGTCCAGAGCTCTTTTCTCTTTTACACCTTCGCTCATGTGGTTCCCCTCTCCTGGAATGCTTTCCTCCTTCCCCAGCCTCTGTCAGACTTCAAGACCTATCTTGGGGCCACCACCTCCAGGAAGTCTTCTCAGGTCCCACCCTTTTTCCAAGACTCCATCCCCAAGCCACTACTTGCTCACTGATTTCCCTGCATTTGGTCATTGCCCATGTCCAGGACTCTGCCCCCACAAAGGCAGGGACCTCTCTTAATCAGTTGTGGCATCTAGGATAAGGGCTGGCAGCAGAGTGAGGTTTGAGAGGGCATGAATGAATCAGTCTGCCTCCAAAGGAAAATCAATGCCTAGCTACAACTTTCAGAGCCTGGAACACCTGCTTTGGAGCCTCGAGTTCCCTCGGGAACTACAGAGTCCACATAGCCATCCACCCATGCAGCCTCCTCCATGAATCAGCCCAGGGACCATCTGTCCCCCACCCAGGGTCATGAGCTTCAGCAAGGCAGTTCCAGGCTGACCTCTTCAGCACTGGGCCCTGTAGTCACATATAGTAAGTAGGTATCAATAAAGGTTTGAGCCTCCTCTCAAGGGCAGGAAGGACCCTTGAGAGGAGGCTCAAGGGTCCTTCCTGAAGGTTTGAGCCTCCTCTCAAGGGCAGGAAGGACCCTGTGCCAGGTGCCCTGCAGAGCCATGCCCACCAGGAGCTGATGACAGACTTGAGGAAAGCATCTCGCTTGCCCACCTTCTTCTTTACACCCTCGTGCATGGAAACTCGCATATGCCAGGCACGTTCACAGCTGGGCACGTGGACACACAGGAGGTATACAGACAGTGGTTCCCACACGTGCTGTCATCCCTGCTCCCCAGCGATTACGTCAGCACACCCTCTCACATTCACACTCATGTGTACACCACGGCCCTCTCACACAGCCCTCCCTGCACACACCCCCTCTGCACACACATGAACGTGTACACATCCCACTCACATGCTTGTCTCTCTTCTTCTCACATACACATTCACATGCACCACTATGCTCACACCCCTCCTAGATATCTGCTCGTACGCTCAGACACAGACACACCCTCTCATGCCATTGACATGCTCACACACACCTAGGCCACCCATGATTCATGAAGGGGGTGAACTCTCCTGCACACAGTTCACACCCCTCATGTTCTTGTTCACTGGCGCCCATTCAAACACACTCTGAGCTGCCCCGTCACACATGGCTGCACACACGCTTCATCTTGTGCACACGCTCACATGTGCACATATCCCCTGGGGCCCACCCATGCATATGTGGCACTCGGCACACTCAAGCACATGTGTACACATTTGACACACTCAGGCACGTGTGTACACACTTGCACATCTGCTTTCTTTCATTCCTGTGTGCATACTCTCATCTGCATTCCTGTGCTCCACATTCTCACACACAGCCATCAAATCATAACCCAGAAGATGCCAAAGGCAGCACACGATGAGGTGCTGCTGGGTGTGGGGTCTGATAAACCAGCAGCCCCAAGGACAGGCAGTAATGATCGTGGTCAGGGAAGGAGATGCTGAGTGGCCTCTGCTGTCGGGGGCTAGAGTGTCATTCGAGCCATCTTGGAATGCTGAGCCCCTGGCACTGCCAGAGCTCTGGCCATAGACGCCTTCCCAGTCTCTGGCCTCCTTGAGTTTGTGGAAACCTGAGGGGTAGCCTCCATCCTGTCCCCAAGGCTCTTGCTCTGGTGACTCACTGCTTCCGAGGGATGGGCAGTCTCCCACGTGTCAGTGAGTGCCTGTGTGGGCAAGGCTGGCTCTTGGGAATTGCACATTTCAGCTTCGTTCTCTGCACCCGATGAGGCAGGCTTCTGGAGGAATCACACCCAGGAATTACAGTGGCCCTATTTCCCTCCCAGCAAGTGTCGGTTCTAAGTTAGTTTTTTTTCCATTAGAAAAGCATCATTCAATTTTCTGATGAAAATTGTTTTTCTCTTTTCTTAATCTCAAAAGCCAGATGTGAATATTGGGGGGAAGAAATCAAATATATTTGTCTAAGCCCGATGGTCAGTTCTCAGCCTCATCTTACTGCATCTCTTATGCCTTCCTTGGACTGTTCATGGAAAATAAGGAAGACAGGTGGTGGGAGCAGCAGGTCACTGGGAGTTGGCGGGAGATGGGGTCAGAGATGCCAGCAGGAGCCACTTGTCTAAGAGGTCGGGGTTCATTCTAAATTTGATTTATTTATTTAAAGTCTATCTTCTCTACCTCCGTGCAAGCTCCACGAAGGGACACAGCCATTCCTCAGCCCTTAACTCAGAGCCCGGCGCACACCACATTCCAGTAATTCATCCCCGTCCGCTCCTGTACTATGGGCTCCTGCATCACGGGGACACTGAGTTCCTCTTAGAACATACACAGGACAGGTACCACTCACTGTGCTGACTTCTCTCATTAGAAAACTTATTCATAGGTTTTATTTCATTAATTTAATTTTTTTTCAAAAGCAGTAAATGTTCTATAAAATAAAAAGAAAATGTGCCCGCCCCGGTCCCACTTCTCAGACGTAACACACATCAACGTTATGGTGTTTATCACTCTAGACCTTGTTCTCTAGACATTTGATTGGTCAGTCAATCTGCAGATTTTTATTGAGAATTTACTCTGTGCCAAGCACTGTATCAGCAGCTGTGGAAAATAGCAGTGAACAAAACAAACTTCTAAGAGAGAAGTTTCATTCAAATGATGAACATATATGTAACACACATTGCATATATAGATTTTTCTTATTACAAACAAAATACTGTAAATATTCTTTAATATTCATCCAGTTTAGAAAATCTGAAAAATCTCCAAAATGGAAGGGACAAAAAAGAAAAAGGAAAACTCATTGGCTTTAGATTCATTATCCAACGAGAGTCGTGTTTTATAGCTTTGTATCATACTTTGCAGTTGTTTATTTGCATATAGTTTTATTTTATTTTACAAAGTCACGAGCATGCTGAAAGCATAGTTTTTCCTTCTTTTTTATTGCACAGTAGTGCAAACAGAAAACATAAAAACAAAAGCCCTCGTAAATCTACTACTTGCAGTTAATCACTGCTAATCTTTAATATCATATATACATTTTTTTTTTCAAAATTAGAAGCTTGAGATCATTCTGAAAATATCACTCAGTAGCTGACTCTGAATTTCTAATATATCTCTGTGTCGATAACTGTAAATCTACACTGGCATTTTCTTGGCTACAGATTTGGTCGTCAAGTGGGTTCCCCATCATGGGATCAACCAGTCTCCTTTTCTTGGCTATTAGGATATTTCCAATTTTCTGTTTTTAGAAGAACATCTGAGTGAATGAAGCAAAATGTTTGCACATATCCTTAGTCATCTGAGTATGATTTTACATTGTTTTTATTCACTCAGATTGTAACGACATCAGAGCGATGACCCCAGTTGTCTCTGATGGTATTCTATGAGATTATTATTTTGTTTTTATACTTTTCTGTTTTCTCTAAATGTTTGCAACAACAAGTTTTATTTGCATAATCACAACATCATTCGAAATTATGCCATGCAAAAATTTCCAGATTACCACAGTTTTCATGTTGACGGGTTTTAGTGACTACCTGTCATTCCATCTAGGGGATAGGCCAAAATTCACTTAACCATCCCCTATCTTTGGTTGTTTAGGTTTTTTCCCAACTTTTTCAAGATTGTTATGCAGGAACCCCGGTCCAAACAGCTTTCACACCTTTGGTACATCCGGCCAAACTGCCTTCCGGAAAGGATGTTCCAATTTCCACTCCTCCCAGCAGTGCATGAGAATCCCTGTCCAGCCACCATCCTCTCCCAGAGATGGACCCTTGGAGTCACTCTCTCTGCCAGGAGGGTAGGAGAGAGCAGGAAAATGGTTTTGTTGGCATTGCCAGCATGATGACTCCCCCGGCCCAGAACCACAAGAATGAGTTTTAACAAGCCCGGTTCCCAGAACAGAACCTGCAGAGAGAAAGAAAACCAAGCAAGCAGGGAAAAACTCTCTGCTGGGAAAAAACACACATACACAGATTAAAATAATATTTGGCACTTACGTCGCACTTTAAAATTCTTCAAACGCTTTATAAACACTAGCTAATTAATTAAGCCACCTAAATCTGGCTGCAGTTGGTGGAGAGAACTTAAAAAAGTGGGGAGGGGCAGCCCTACACAGCTCCAGATTTGATTGTCGCCCGCCTGGGGTGTGATTGCAGGCCTCCGGCTGCACCACAAGAATAGCCCTGCTCCGACACACCGCATGCCTGATTCCACAGCCTCCTCTTCTGCTCACACCGCTCCCCTCACAACAGCTGACTCACAGCCCTGTGTGATGTTATCGATAAGGATAATAATAACTGCCATGTATTACAGGCGTCTTCTGTCGGCCAGGCACAGTCCCAGGCTCCAGGCTTGCCCATAGCCTGGATGTGCCTGTAGCAGCTCCATTAACAGACAAGGAAAGAGGCTCCGAGAGGGGATTTGCCCTGGAGCAAGTAAAAGCCCCGCTTCGTTCATTCACTCATGCATTCATTCAACATGTATCTGTAAAGAGCCTAGTGTGTGCCAGACACTGTTGTAGGCAGAGAGTTAGAAATTCTCCCTTGCGGATCCTACACCTTGGATGGAGGGACATGACAATCTAGAGAAAATCAAGTAAGTGATATATCTGTGATCATAATAGGAACAGAACTCAAAATTTAACCAGCACCTCTGTAGCAGGCACCTATGTCCAACTGTGTCATAGCCCTCACGACTATCGTGGTGGGGTGGGTGGCAGTACCTCACTTAATGGAAGGTGGAGTGGAGGCCCGGGGAGGGCGGGTGCTGAGCTGGCGAAGGGGAAACCCCTGCTTTCCCTAGGCCCGCTGGCCCCAGCCTGTTCTGCCTCCAGGCAGCATTTCCAGTTCATCCAGTCTTCACGCCAGAATACAGATCCACTGGGAATGTTCCTGACTGGATGCTGTTGGCAGTTGCTGGTACTGCCTCAGATGTCTCTGGGTCGCTGCCAGGCTCTTTTGGCCTCCTCCATGTGCCTCTCACACACCTGGCCACCAGCTCCACACGTGCCCCTGTCCTCTGTGCGTTCTGGTTTCTTTCCTTCACCGGTGAGGGTCAATCCGTCCTATAGCTGTCACTCTGCCTCTCCACTCACCTGCCATGAGAGCCCAGGGATCCCCGGCACGAGAGTCAGGGCTGAGACAATAGGCAGGTGGATGAGAATGGGCTTGCCTGCAGTAAGAGCAGACTGGAGTCTAGGGCCCTCCCTTCCCTCTGGTGCCCGGCCTCTACCTGTAGGATGGTCCCAGGCCACAGGCTGGTGGGCAAATTTACACAGTTTCTCTTCTCCATTGCCAGAGCCAGAGGGGGCAGGGGACTGCTCAGGGCATCAGCTGCAACCCTGTCTTATGTACCAGGGAAAGGTGGCCTAGGTCAGGACAGGACAAGGTCACATCACGGGTCAGTGGAGCACCCAGCCAGAGATGATACAGTCTGCCTGCACCTAGGCTGCTGCCACTCCACATCTGTCAGTTTCTCACTCTTGTCTCCATCTGCCTCTCCTACTGTCTATCTCTGCAGTTTTCTCTCTCTCTCTCTCTCTCTCTCTCTCTCTCTCTCTCTCTCTCTCACCCCCTCCCTCCCTTCCCCTCTCTCTCTGTTTCTCCAAAGTCATCTTTATAATGCCCTTTCTCCCAATCCCCCCACCTTGCTCAGAATCCGAGCCCTGGCTGTGCCTTGCTCTGAGCACCTGCAGCACATCTCATAGCAACTTCACCTGCCTCTTTATCTTCCTCTGCCTGCGTCCTTCCCTGTCTTCTCTACCCAGAGCCCTGTCTGATGTGCTTCAGTCCTCTCCAGTTTGGGGCTCAGGCCCTCCCCCTCCACTGACCTTCATGACTCCTTCCAGCTGCCCTACCTGAGAGCCCTTGAGGCCTGAACTGGTTCCATCTCCTGTGTGTCCCCAGCACCCAGTGCGGGCCTGGCCTACAGGACCATCAGCAAGTGTTGATAGGAATAAAGTTCGAGCAACAGACCCTCTCTCATTTATTCATCATATAATGACAGTAGCTTCTCCTATGCCCAGCTTGGACTAAAAGCAGAAGGCTAGGAGGTGTTTACCCACCTTGTAGATAAGGAAACTGAGACTCAGAACCAAAAGATAAAAAGAGACTAAGGTTCAGAAGGCAGTAAAGGGACCAGCCCAAATGAAGGGCAGCGCTCACATGTGGTGCTTGGCAGTATTAAGCACACATGCAGGAATCCCTCTTGGCTCGTCTCAGTGGCCCAAGTGTTGGCAAAAATCATGTAGCAGTATGCCCTGAGCCAGGATTCGAACCCAAGTCCTCCTGCTTCACTATCCGCATCCTGGACGAGGTCCACCTGCTGAGTACAGCTTCCCTGCTCAGGGCCTGCTTCCTGGGCCAGCTTGAAGATCTAAACTCTCGTAGAAGCACCCACACACCGTGCTGCCACCCACCACTGAGCCTTCACCCAGGTGGTTCCCTCTGTCAGGAACACTGTGCCCCTTACTTCCTGGTAAATTCAGATTTGAATTCAGAGTCCAGCTCAGGCATGACTCTTCCAGAGAGGGCTTAGACGTTCACACCCACTCTCTGCCATGTCATTTAACCTCTCTGTGCCTCAGTTTCTTCATATGTAATAGGCTCTCACATTACAGGTTCATTGTGAAGGTTATATACAATGATACATGCAGTGTGCTGAGCTCAAGGTCTGTTCATGGTTTAGCTCAGTCACTGAAAGTCGTTACTGATAAACACTTGACAAAACCTAAAGGATCACCTATGGGTGAAAAAATAACCTCTGTTTCC